ATAGAACCGGTCCGAACCAGTAGCATCCCACCTCTGGTTTGAGGCTGCTGGGATCTACTGTCCATATATGTTGTACAATAATATTGGAGGGAACAAAGCAGTGGTGGTATTCAACCAGTTCGGCCCAGTTCTGGCGAGCCGGTAGGAGTGATGAGCAGCGGAGACTGAACAAGTTCTCTCCGCCGCTCTGCTGTTGGGCCCACTTGGGCTCCCATGCTCACTTTTATCTGCTGAATTTGAAGCGCAGCTGCTTTGCGCGGCAGAGAATAGTGGTGCGCAGCAGCTGCTGAAGCGATCAGGATCGTGCAGGATTGCAGGAGGCGAGTTAGAATGCCTCTGCACCTGCGCAAATGCCTCTGTGCCTGTGCAAACTCCTCTGCGCAAAGTGTGCATCCTCTGCATGCAAAGTGTGTGCACGTGTGCAAAGTGCACCCACCAAGCCACGTCCACCGAACCGGTGGCAACAATATTTGAATCCCACCACTGGAACAAAGTGAATCTATTTGTTAGCATAAACATTTCAAACTTTATCTTGGAAGTTTTACGAGATGATTCTACTGAAATGGTAGTTTTGCCTCTGGTAAAAGAAGGGAATGTGTAAGCAACATCTCTGAAAAGTCACAGGTACATTATCACCTGTATGTGGATGACAGGTAAGTGTTATAATTAGCCTAGTTCTAAATAGTATTTCAGGATGGTGAAGGCTTGCGTGGTATTTTTGTACTATTTTGTTTTAAAATCTGCTTTGTGTGCTTGGGCAGAGCAGGGAGGGCCTTCTCCTGGGCATTTCCTATTCCTCCTACTCCTGTTCCTTCTCTCTCGAGGCTATTCTAGCAAAGCAACATCATCAAATTAATTTTTTGTTATAGCAATAGAGAATGGAAATAATACCCCTCTCCATTTTATACCTTTTTTTCTGAACCACCAGAGTTTGCTCAAGGCACTTTCACACAGTCACATTTTCTCCCTTTATAATCACGCTACTATGCAAGTGCCCTCATGGTTGGCTGCCAAATAACCTCTTTGAGGTGCCCACAGTGGTTTAACAATCCTGTTAAATATTCTCATTCTTTGTCATTGCTCATTACAGATAGTCCTCAACTTATAACCACAACCGAGCCCAAAATTTCCATTGCTAAACAAGACAGTTGTTAAGTGAGAGTTGTCCCATTTTTACGACCTGTCTTGTCACAGTTGTTAAATTAATCGCTGTAACTGATCATCTTAGTAACATAATTGTTAATTGAATCTGGCTTCCCATTGTCTTTGCTTGTCAAAAGGTTGCAAAAGGTTATCGCGTGACCATAACACAGTGCAACCATCATATGCTAGTTGCCCAGCTTCTGAATACTGCTCACATGAACACAAGGATGCGGCAATGGTTGTGTGAAAAATGATACAAGTCCCCTTTTTTTAGTGCTGTTGTAACTTCGGTCACTAAATTAATTATTGTAAGTTGAGGACTATCTGTATACAGTGATACCTTGGTATTCAACTGCTTCGAAACTCATTGCGTTTGGCACTCAATGCATTTTGACATGAAAATTTTGTCCTGGTACTCATTGTTTGTTTGGTACTTGATGCACCAGCTAGAACTTGTTGGTGTTATCTGCCTTGTGACTCACTACATTATTCCTTATGGGAAAAAATAGTTTGGTACTCATCGTGCCTCCTGGAACCAATTAACGATGAGTATCGAAGTACCACAATATTAATTTTTTTAAGGAGGGGAAGAAAACCCCGCCAGTGTGTCATCACCTTTTGGACTGACTGAAAATAATGTGCCAAATCACTCTGACACCTCAACTTCTGGAGGGGAGAGGGAATCCCACACACCAGGAAACAGGAAAAAGCAGGAGTGTTTGCCAGTGGGAAACCAACTAACCCACAGCTGCAAAGGAAATATGTAAAACAATCTTTGCAGCTAAATGAGGAAGTTAACAAAGTCAGCAGAATTGCAGAAACTCTTTCATGTGCCGAAAACAGGCTTGTGGTGCAAGGCTCAAGTTGCCGCAATCCTTTTATGTGGAAAGATACAATTTCCAGGGAATAAACCACACTGGCAGGGGAGTTCTGGGAGTTGAAGTTCACACATCTTAAAATGGCTAATGTTGAGAAACACTGGAATAGAGCTTGGAAGAGGAAGCTGATGATTAGAAAGAAACTTCTTCTTTCCTTTGTGCCTTCTCATTCCACACCAAGTTTTGCAGTCGTAAAACCTATAATGCCATCCAGATGAAATTGCAATACCTGTAAACATCTCACTGCTTTCCACAGGAGGATCAATTGCAGGCTGGAATCTCTCATTGGTCAGCAAGTTGGAAAAATCCTTAATTTGGAGTAGATTCTGCCCTGGCTAAATAATAGGCTGACCAGATTTGTTTTGTTACTTGCTGACTTCAGCAAAAGAGCAACCCAGTAAAACAGAAATCCTGCAAGCAAGTAAGTAAACAAACAAACAATAAATTGGAAAACTAATGAAAAACAACCACTGCCCATATCGTGAGTCTTCTAAGGTTGCCAATTATGCTCACAAAGGCAGCATTCACTAAGAGTCTGCAGTACATGAATTACTGGGAAAGTTCTTTTAATAATCAGCCAGAAAAGGCCACCCAGTAAAACACAAAGAGTTTTGTTCTCAAGCACAACCACATCCTTAGAAGCTTGGAGACCATTCAGCCTCCTTAGAACCAATGGCAGAGCAATTAGTGGCAATATTCGTTGGTTGCGGCAACCTGGACCTGGAATCTGGTAGTATCCAAATGAAGGACACACAGGTTTATTTTTCCCCCAGTTCAATAGTCTTCATTTGGGGAAAAAAAACACCTTTTGCCTATCCTTCTCTTCCTTTCTGCATTTATTGACAAAAAATATAATGTTTTCTAACATTCCTTTATTTATTGCTCTGTATTTTTCATTCTTTTAATAGCAGGTGACATGGCAGTAATGATCAAATGTGATAGAATACAATATAATTGACAAAATAACACAGGGGTCTCCAACCTTGGCAACTTTTAAGACTTGTGGACTTCAACTCCCAGAGTTCCTCAGCCAGCAAAGCTCACAAGTCCACCAGTCTTAAAATTGCCAAGATTGGAGACCGCTGAAATAACATAAAAGGCAGTAACAGTCAGCATAAACAAGAAGATATGTATCTCTGTAATATGCACACATGCAGACACACAAACACAGAGCACAGTCAAGACCTCTGCTTCAGCTCTTCCAGGTTGCTCTTCCAGGTTTCAATATAAAAAAAAAGAGGACCAATTGTAATGATTAATCATATACCAGTTGTTAAATCTCACCCTCTCAGCACTCTGCAGCACTGAATGATAGATGGAAATGTTTACTATGTTCCCCTTTGGACTCGAGAGAGATACAGAGTGGATTTTTTTTGCCAGCTTTTTGGAAGGATTTGGCTTAATCCCAAAGTGCATAAAGGGGGAAAAAGGGGGGAAAAATGCCCAAACTTCCTTTAGGTATTGCTGGCTTTTTACTGCATTCTCATGCCAATTAATTTCTGTTGAAGCAAAGCAAATGCCAAACCAAGATTTATTAAACATCATTTTGGAAGTTCAGGGCATTCGAAAGGAGTACTGAAAAATTATAAATAGTTCCCCAAAACTTAAAATGTAGTTTTCCCTCCAACAAATTTCTCCACTTCATTCTAATGCTCCAGCAATGAGCACTGTTAGTTCTGAAGCCAAAGCAAAACCACCTGTTCAAAGAATTCCAAGAAGACAATGTCAAAATGGTTGAGATAATGTTAAATTTTGAAAATGGGCAAAATGAGAATGTTTAATGGTGTGTGTGTGTGTGTGTGTGTGTGTAGAAAGAGAAACTCAAAATAGCACTCTAGAGTGCAACTTTTTTTGTAGTTTCCATTTGTACAGGTTCCATTATCCTTGCAGTTGAGAAATGATATATGAATGTAGTTCAATTAATTTTACTACATTCAGTTGAAGGGAAGGGCTAAATTCAATGTGTATGATGGGGAAAATTTGTTGTTTCCATCAAAAATTGGGAGTGAGAAAGTAGCATAAGTAGCAAAAACCAAGTATTTACTCTTGCTTGCCCACACACAAATACACAAGTGATTTTGGCCAATTATATATTGTCCTCAATCATAAACCATTGTAGTTAGATTCTCACAATTTTCTAAGCTGAAACCAAACAAAATATGAAGACAAATATAAATGTCCCAGGATAACGTTGCACGATCCATTCTTGGTCAGTCACCAGGACTAGAGATTTACTGCTTTATCAGAGTGACCAACCCAGATTGGATCTTGCAAACAAAAGATGTTATGGCTTGGAACAAGTCCTGACATAGTTGTCACAAAAATCCACAATAAACTTAATTCAGGATTTTCTCACAACTATATACTGTCTTTCATCTTTCATGATGTTCTTCTCCTGGGAAGTCTGTTTTCAATAAAATATAAAATAATTGAAGCATTGAAGATTTGAGTTCATCTGAGTGCAAAGATTTTTAGAAAAACAAATTCTGCAGAAAATTCCCAACTTCTTTTGAGACCTAAAGCAAAACAAGGGAAGGTTCTTATTGCTCCCCAGATAAAATAGTGAATAATAGGAAATACACTAAGAATTCAAATGCTTATTTTAGAAAAAACAAAAACAAAATAGTCTATGTCAGCTATAGGTAAACATTTCCTAGGCTTGAACATATGCTGAGAACTGTGTTTCTCTCACAGTGATGCCCAAATAACTAATACTTAAACTGAGTAGAATTTATCCCCAAATTTACTTTCAAATGTTGCTAATCCAGAGAAATTTCAAGTGACAAGAGCAATTTTTAATTCAAGTGAGGTTTTTTTGTTGCAAATCATAATTCACAGGTTAAGATCAGTGGTGGGATACTACTGGTTCTGTGGGCGTGGCTTGGTGGGCATGGCAGGGGAAGGATACCATAAAATCTCCAGCCAGAGGTGCTATTTGCTAGTTCTCTGAACTACTCAAAATTTCAAAATTTTTCAAGAAGATACCAGGTTGCAGGAAACCAGGGTAAGGCTTCTGAATGGAATTATGACAAATCTTGTTAGTTAAGAAGACAACCTTGAAGAAAAAGCAACAACAGCTCCAAAATCTCTCATAATTATCCTATGACCTGTCTCTTTTATTTGATAGTGCCAATGCAGCTATGAGCAGCATTTTGCAAGCATCATTCCTACCTCTTTGATCTATTTAGTTCTAGAGACTAGTTTGTTTCTTGAAAGCTTATGAGAAATTTTCCCCAAATTGGATTCAAAACAATGTGAATCCAGGAAACTCATATTAAAAATAAATATCAAAGAATGCCAAACCATCTAGTTCAACTGCTAGCAATAAATAGCAATCATGGCTACTGGGCATGCCATATCTTTGCTAACCAAGGAATGTTTCAAGTATCAAGGAGCTGCACTCCTTATTCTAACATAGCACCAGATAGTTTTGAAACCATCAATGGCTTATTGTGCAAATATCCCTTCTATTTCTAAGGGCTGCAAGCTCAGCTCTCTTTTCCAGTACACTTTTTAGTGCCCTTTTTCAGCATTCTTCAACTACTGTCCCAATCAAGGAGTATAATTTTTTCTTAATTAGACGAAACCCAGGGCTCAAGATCAGAGTCTGCTTATAGCTAGAAGTAAAACAAATTCTGGGGAATAAACTCCTGAAGCTGGGCCACGAGCAATTGTCTTGCTTGAACACCAGTGTCAACTCAAAAGTAGGAATGACGCTGGGTTCACAAACAATCTTATCCAGCCTTTTACATACATTTCCAGTTTCCAAGTTGACATGAATAATGCAGCCCCGCAAACCACAAGGCTCCGTAGAAGAGAGACGCAAGACATCTTGAGCTATCCTCCGAGTTAATTTCTCAGGGACTAAGACCCTTGAGCAATGCAGTCTAGTCTGTTTTGATTTAGAGAGGCAGTTCTCCAGCATTCTAATTAGATTCTGACACGTTCGTTCCTCAAACACCATCTCGTTAAAGTTGGGTTCAGGCGCTACAAAATCCCAATAGTCAAAGTCTGCAAGGGAAAAGTGAAAATTAGAAGAGGTTCTCCATACTGTCAAGGAACTAGCCCACCCACCACTTCTAGCATCCCATTATTATATTTAAGTTCATTGCAAGTATCATATGCACAAACATACCATCACAAACAGCTGTGGGTCATCAGACCAAAGCTAGAATGCCACTAGAAGGGACAGACAGCTTGCCAGATGGAACAGAAAATGCAGAAAAATACACTCCCAGCACAATAGACACATTAAAAAAAAAGGAGACCCAACTATGTTTTTCTAAAGATTACAATTTTGGCAGGCTGTCAAGAACAGAGCTAAGTTGTTCCACGCTGCATGCCAAAAAAGAATGAACTTGTTTACTTTGCTAAATTAAGAGAGTCCTGGACATAGATGCACCCCTCAATTGAAATTGATAAGAGAAAATGAGGCCATTTTCACACATTGTTCACACTTCAGTGAAACACCAGTGAGCTCATGTCTGAATGGTTAATTCTAAGCTTTAGACCTAAACTTTAGGTCTTTCTACAAATCCTTCAGACTTCAGTTTTGCAGAAACTAGTAATGCATTCAATTTACTTACATTTCATTAACTAGATATTATATAAATTATCTTTATTGCTGCCATTATTATTTTTTAAATGGCTATTATCCCCATAGCCAACAACAAAGTTGTCATTATTTATAAAGGAATTATATTTAAATATCTAGGTTCTGATCCAGCTGGCTTGCATGCCAGTGAAGCATCAAATTTATAATTACAGTTTCTAATTAAGTCTTAAAGTTCTGAAATACGCCAATATGCTTCTGAACGGCTAAGGCTTAGCATTGAAGGAACTATTCCTTCTTTCAGCAAAACCTGAAAAAGATTTATCTTTGTAGCCTAATGCAAGTTTGGGCTCCATTGTTTTTTATAATGCAAACTATTTATCATTTTGATAAATTATGCGGAGATGTCTAAATCTGGTAGAAAAGTGTAAAAGTTATACCTCAACCTCTTAATCCATGAATCAAGTACAATTTTCAATATTAAGCTATTTATTTAAATTTACCCTATCCAAAAAGGGTATGGAATTTTGAAGCCAAGTTTCACTGTGTGCTTTTGTTTTTCTGTCTACAAAAGATAGGTAGCTACAAATACGGCATTAGAGAAAATATTCAAAATGCTAAATATAATATTAGGCTACACCTCATGTTTTCATACAATAATACTATATGTAGCAATCCTGGGCAAAGAGCACACTTGGTGCTTGCATGACACCCAGAGATATGACTTCCAAAAGTAGTGAGTGAGCCCAGATGAAAATTTAACATTGTATTTTATTACAAGGCATTATTTGTCAAAGAAGTTTGGCTAAATGAGGCCTCACAGTATCAGATGGGGCAACTTCTAATTTACTACAATCTGGACACCTGGCCCCATCCCAGTCATCCTATCTTACTTACCAGAGAAGGATAGCTGCTGAAATCGCTGCTGTATCAGTTCAGAATTTTTATTGTTTAAGTTGTTGGTTGCAACCATTCTGAAGAAGTGCATTCACCATCAACAAGTCCGTGGTGCACCTTACAATTCTGACTACTGTGTGAGGAAGCAAATCCAATTGACTTGAGAGACTGTTAGAAGATAAGGCAGGTGAACACTATTGAAGGGGAAGCAGCAAAATAAGGGCCATGCCCAGAGACCTAAGGCAACCCTGCGATGTTCTTGGCAATGATACAGACTTTTATTTATTTATTTATCATTTGGTTTGTCAATTGCGTACAAGATAATAGGTATAAGTAAAAACATAGTTATAAATACATGGATACATATAAGAAAAATAAAAAACAATAGGACAGGAACGGTAGGCATGCCCCCTACAGACCTCTTAGGAAAGGGGTGAGGTCAATAATAGACAGTCTAAGGTTAAAGTTTTTGGGGTTTGGGGAAGAAACCACAGAGACAGGTAGAGTATTCTAGACATTGATCACTCTGTTGCTGAAGTCGTATTTCCTGCAATCAAGTCTGGTGAGATTAACCTTGAGTTTGTATCTATTGTGTGCTCTTGTATTGTTATGGTTGAAGGTGAAGTATTCATTGACAGGTAGGCCATGCCCAATTCTAAAATGTTTTTTCCCCCAACTCCCCAATCTAGCCCAAAAACTCTGAAATTACCTGACAGTCTCTCTCCCCCTCCCCAAGAGGAAAAAAAAACAACAGAGGAAATTCCAATTTTTCAAGATCAACCAAGCTCATCTAGTGACCGACACCTGCTCAGCCAGACACTTCCCAGGAGTAAATTCCACCAGCTTTTACAAGGGCTACTCCTGGGTAAATGAATTGCACCCTGTGAATCTCATGTCACTCACAAACACATTTTAAAATTTCATTAGCACAAAGCACATTCTAAAACGTCTTTTGAGTTTAAATGCAAAAAAAAAAAAAATCTTAAAAGGAAATGGAACATGGTTATTCAAGTTTGCTTTTGTTCATTAATACAATCTCCAGCCCAAGCTCTTACCTGCGAAAAAGTAAAGGAGGGAAACTTTGTTAGGACAGGGACTCCCGTGTCGCTAGAAAGCATAAAGAGAGGAATTATAGATACGAAGTCCTAGCCACCAATGAGCCTCCTGTCCTTTTTAAATGCCAGCTTAGACATTTATAGACCGTAACCCTCCGCCGCGGCCCAGCCCCACCCTATTCGTCAAGGTCCTGCTAGCCAAACAGCCCCCCTCCCAATTTGTCAGCCAAGCTCTCTTCTCATTGGTCGCTGCTCTTTTAGGGTAGGCGGTGGCCGGCAGAGCGAGGGGTTTGAATTGGAAAGAAGAGAAGCCCGGCGGGGGACTATTTGGTTGGATGAGGGGAACGGTAGAAGAAGAACCAGAGGTTGAGGGGGGAAAAGAGACAGTCAAAGTCACCTGATTCACTTCTGCCGGAGCGTTTTGACCCCTTCGGAGCCGCTTCTTTGCTCCTTTCCCGCTCGGCGCGGCCTTGAAATAGCCGGGGGAAAGTTTAGGTGGGCGGCCACAGGGCTCCTTGATTCACGGGGTCCAGGTCCCGAAGCGGTAAACTTCTGGAGTCAGAAAGGGAGACGGGCGAGTCCTCCGGTTCTTCTTCTTCTTCTTCTTCTTCTTCTTCTTCTTCTTCTTCTTCTT